GTGTGAAGCTACTATGACAGCAAATAAAATTTGAAGGCCTGAATAAGTCTGTAAAAGAAAATTTTTTTATCAAATTTTCGACAAAAATAGAATAGTTATTTAAAAATGTCATTTAATTGCATAGTGCTCAGTTGAAAAACATCCTTGAAATAAGTTTTGCAAACAGCATGGGTAGAGGAAACTAACATAGACTTTCGAAAGCATTTGATTGCTTTTCACTGCCATATTGATTCTTGTACTTCTTCGAATCTAAGGCGCATCTTTCTTTTGGTATAAGGGTCGTTAAAAACAATGTATGCTGTAGAATCCATGGTGCATAAGAAACTCTGAATTTTCCGTATTACTAAATTATTTTGAAAATTAAATTTTTCAAATTACTTATTTTTAGATTCATCATAATTATTAATAAATCAAATCAATCATCAAAAATATTTGCTAAATATACTTTAATGTTTGATTTTATTCATCTTATTTTCTTAAATTAAAGATTTTTTTTTTCCTTGTGTGTGTGTGTGTGTGTGTGTGTGTGTGTGTGTGTGTGTGTGTGTGTGTGTGTAGGTGAGACTGAAACTCAGATGTGCGCTTTAGAACCGAAAACATACAGTATTAACGGTATTATTGTCGCATTTGCTGAATGGCATGATTTAATAAAAGGTTCAAAAAGTTCTTTTCTTTCGTTCTATGTGCGTTGTATACGTCACCTTTCTTTTTTATTCAATCTTCAGAGATTTACTTCCTGTTACCTCTACTGCTAAATACTCTTACCATTACTCTATTATCTATCTACATTTGAAAAATAAGGTTGATCCTTTTTGACAATTTTAAAGTTTTAATGTTTCTTATTCACTAATTCACACGTTTTTATGTACTTAATGCTGTGCAGTCTGCTAATTTTCCAAATTTTAGTTTTATGCGAAGTTAGGAGAAATACACCCCTCGGGTATCCAAATATTAACTAATGAGATCCAGGAGTTTTACTTGTATTATATTGCTATTGCAATTTCTCTTATTTATTTCGTTTTTCTATTTTATGTTTCTTAACGCAATGTAAATATATGGAATGATGAAAGTATTTCCGTTCGATAACGTTGCAATCACGCAAATGACATCTGTATGAATACTAAAGGTACGATCGAGGTAGGCGGTTATTATAATTATTCCAGAGGGTCTGCCCATAGAAATTAACTCTTCATCGTAACCAGGACACAAAAATAAACCTGTTTTCACTTGTCAAACTTTTGGAACTATAGATATTCTCGAAATGGTTCAAGACCAGAATTTGGTGAAATTTTTCAAGATTATTATTCTCTTTAGGAAACACAGCAAGAAAACTAAGCCCCCACTTTGCAAAGTAAAGCCTGGATTTACAGCAGTTGAGAATTTTTGAAGTATTTGAGGGGAAAACTATGAACATTTTAAAATTTTCCCATTTCTTTCTGATTGATGTTGAATACATAGTTCGACACTTATTAAAAATGAAATCACACCACCACGAAAGACTGCACTTAGTCGCATGAAGATCGCAGAACAAGTACAGATATCAGAGATATGCAAATTTCAAAAGTTTTTACGAAAGATATGCAACACACATAATCTGTTTATTCATTATCTAGCATGGCTCCTCTGGACAACGATACGTTGAGACATATTGTTAGCGAGGCTATTAATGGTTTAAGCCGCATCCAACCTTTGGGTCCTCCAAGGTAGTAGAGGCAGTTTCCCGTACACCTCACATCCAATGAAATCCTATACGTGTTCAATGAAGACGAGCTCTGACATGGCTGATAGCCAGGGAATGATTCCGTGCAGATTGGTAAAAATGCAATCCTAGATGTACCTTATAATACTGTCTTACTACAACACAATACCAGGTAATTTCTTTATTATTAGGAAGATCATATGATCTACAATTCGCGTTGCCTACTGGTTAACCCTCAGATGACCAGAGATATGTCCAAGGAATATCCAGTGAAAGAATACGATACTAGGTGTGGAGCCGATGTGAAGGTCGGTGAAAATAGCTAGCGCGAGGATACCTGTACTTTGACACCAATCTACGAAGGTTCATTTGCCACAGACAAAAGCGGAAATCATCTATGAACGAAACAGAATGATTTCAATGTCTCAGTTGCGATGACTCGAACACTATACTATGCATTCCTCTGTCGACATGTTTGTGTCATATTAGTCCCTGCTTGTCGTTAGTGGAACCTACTTCATGCAACTTGTGCTTCAGAAGCTGTAGTTGGATATTTTCGTCTGATGTCTCCATATTTCACGTGCCATAGCGAAAGGGTTGCGACGTCTTGTTTTAAGGATTTACTGGCCTGTGCGGTCTGGAGTGCAGTGTTACGTTTCATTCCCCACTCTCTGAATCTTGATGTTGTTCTTTATGCCACACGGTGCTACGCATAGCTGGGCGTTACTTACTTAGTGCCCCACATGCCGCCACTGTTTCGTCTTGAAAACTGAAAGTGTTGTTGTTTCTCATCCCCCGTGACCAGCAGAGCTAGATCAGGTCCCTGAACCCATTCACCCTGAAAGAGTCCAGTACAAAAAGGGGGTCTTGAACCAGATCCTGTCTGGTAAGCCCTAGACAAGATAAGATGTGATCAGGAGAGGCCTGTGCGGTAGAACACTTAGTGTATATTTCAAAGTGTTTATTACCCCGACAAAAGTCATTGATAACAGATGGCCACTAAGGAATCAAGTAAATGCAGTTTGATCTCGTCTATTGCTGCTCTGTACCAAGGAGCCACCAGGGCACTTACTCTGATACCATGGGTGCACTGGTGACCAACCAAACGGTCTTATTCTTTACCATACATTTAGAAAATAGTTCCATATAAATAAGAGGAACGGCAGGCGTTGTGGTCTCGCTAGCACCAGCTCTAGCCAAGCTGTCTGCAATTTCCTTTCCAGCAACGTCGACATGGGACGGAATCCACTGAAAGTGGATCCGATGAGAAAGGGAAAATTGTTTTAGTTTCCTGAGGATGATTGCACTTGTACTATCCCTCACATTATGCCAATCAGCCAAGTGCTGGAGGGCACTTCTACTATCCGAAAAGATCCAGATATATTTTAACTGAGGCAGCCACATGATGGAGTCCAGACCCTCCAGAACTGCAATAAGCTCGCTTCGAAATACCGAGCAGAAGTCTGTATTTCTTCTTTGATTTTTTTTTCTTGATCCCGAAATCTAATATAAATGCCACTGACAGAACTGTCATTAACAACTTTACTGCCGTCCATATACACGTGGACAGCGTCTATAGGGACATTATTAATTATTTCAAGAGCTACCTCTTTCAAGTAGCACGGCAATACTATCTGTTTGCTAACTTGGACAGAAAGATTAACATGAAAGTAAACCCCATCAAGACCTTCAGAGGGGTAAATAATCTGAGAAAAGCTGTGATGTTCAATAGAACTGGCGATAAGGTGGTCAGAAACAGCCTGTCCAAAGGGACTACCACGTTTGAGCCTCTGGTTATTGCTCCATGACCCTAGAAATTTCGAGGTACGATTCTGTAGGCCAAGACTAGAAAGCTTATTGTAGTACTTCACTAAACGTGCATTTCTTCTAAGACTCAAAGGCTGCAAATTGATAGTATAAGTAAGTTGTATAGCTTTATTATTCAGTGTCGTTCGCTGGCAGTTAACTCATGCCGCTCGACTTCGTAAAAGTGTACAATAAAGTTGTCTTAGGCTAATTCAAAAGTTTAGTTGGCGCTGATGTATTTCTTATATCACTTGAGCTCTGAGCAGGCTGCAACGGATGTCACAGCGATTCGTTTCATTTCCAACGTTAATTCGTATTGACATACATCTATTCGTCCTAATTTTCATACAACCCTTAGTGCTGATTCGATTCTGTTACACGTTTTCATGAAATCTGCTTGGAAATCGAGAAACAGAGTCGCCTTTTAGTTTTCCTTTACTTATTCTGATCTCCTTTCGTATAATAAACAGCTGGATTTCATTATCGTGTTGCTCCTATAGGGCACACTTTCGTATGAGAATTTACTGCTGCGGCTCCATTTAACAGTATAGTTAGCTAGGTAGGAAGACAGTTGATAAGTAGTTATTGCATTTAGAATTGCGGCAAGTTAACTATCTAGACAGAGAGGTTTAGTCTCCTTTTTAACCGATGTCCCACAAATGTTCTACAAAGTATACATATAATGTTATATGAAGATCTGCACTGAAGGGTTATCATCTACATGGAGACAGAATGCCATTGCAATAAACTTTTTACCCGAGAAGTTGGTCAATATTTAACTTAGACGTGCGTTAAGCCACGAAATTCTGTACAGCAGGCTAGTTCCAGTAGGATTCAAGCCTTAAGTGAACTGTTTTACCACAGCTTATTGTACCTCTAGATTTTTACGGAAGATAAATTCCGAAAGTAATGACTTTGAAAGTCTTTTACGAAGGCAGCCTTTCCCTTAGGCCGATAAACTCTAGCATGCTTTGCCATGAGCAAATAAACCAAACGAAACCAAACCGAACGTGCTGGTGAAGCTGGTCATTAAACAACAGCACAACTATTAAATGTCCGTGTCCTTGAAATTTCATACGGTGCCTAAGGATAATTGATGAAAGAGGCTCACGCTAGTTTAAACTTTAAAAATTTGCAAAATTTAGTTTTATTTTGATATTGATCTAAAAGTAAAAGGCTCAGAAGCCAATCCATTGCCAAAGTGTATATTTCCTTTGTTAATGGTGACCGAATATATTTGGGACCGTTACGTATCCCTAATTTTGTGGCAATAGATTCAAAGAAACTTTCTTGATTTCCTGCAAAGCCTGATTTTGTAAATAATAAATAATTTGCAGGTAGCTATAAAACATTTTGTCTTTTACTTACCCTTGAAGTGATTATGTTCAAATAAGAATTAAAAGGGAGCTTAATGTTTAAATTCTTATATTTTTGGGTGATTGTTTGTCGTGTTGTATCTAAATTATTTCACTGATGCCTTCGTTTTCTTCTTTAGGTGTTATTACGATATTTGTTCTACTGTTGGGTTCCACTGTGTCAGAAGAAGTTCTCACAACCGCCATATACGACGAAAACGCAACCCTTTCCGGGTCAGAAATTAGTGAAGGGCCCACTTTTAGCGTCAGTGAGCTGCCCTTTGTTAACAGTCTCTTGAATCCTTGTTCTTCAGAAGCCACGACAAACGGCTATATCGCAGCCGAAGGACATAGGGCGAGTTTCGCCATTGAATTTTTTAAATTCATGAATACTTGCGCAGCAACATACAAACAGAATGCCCAACAAGTGCTTGATCGTGTAAGTACCAATAAATGCTTTCCAGATTTGTGTTTCAAATGCATACCTGAGCAGTAATGAATGAAAAAATTAAGTTGTGTTAAATAATGCTGTACCATTACCCATAAGTAATCTACCGACTAAAAATCTTGATTTGTTTAGAATTCCTCTCTTAAGTTATGTATAAGCATGATATATTGAAATTACTTAAGACTATTTAATACCGTTGAAACTTTAAAGATACTTTAACTTCCGCTTTCTAGCCAACTAAAAGTGCTGAGATAAAGGTTTCAATTTTTATAAGTACTAACAGAAACTTTATTGAATTTATTGGTTATGTGTAGAGCGGAGGAAATAAGCTACATTACATGCATAATTTAAGAAACATTTATTTCAAAAGTTTCAGAACAAAACCTGTAATAAACTTCTAAAAGCGAGACAAATAAAAAAATCGTCTATACTTCTAAAATGCGAATAATGGAGTATTCAGATTGTCTTAAGGCAAAATAATCTCCCATGTGAAATTTTAGCGGATTTCTAAATTTGTTACGTTTAGGATATCATTTTTGAGAGTTCTGTGTTGCATAAAGTCAACATAACTTATGATAACTATAATAGAACACTAATTCTTAAATTATTGTTTCAAAATATTATAAATATTAGCTTTTCCCACCATAATATTGTTTGGATCTTTTCCATTATAGAACAGAGCCAAACAATTTTCTATATGTGGGCCAAGTTGATTAATTTCGACTCTAACTTATTTCAACTGCTGCAAAATTTTTCAGAGCATAAATAAAAATTTATAGTTTGATACTTCAGTAAATAATGAAAGAAACAGCATGGCAAAAGGAAAACGTTTCACTGATAGTACTTATTTTAGAAGTAAGAACATCCTTATAAGTGATAAGAATAACATATTTTATTTAACTCTAGCCAATAGGTAGTGTTGGCGCATATGACTTTTTGTAAAAATTATTTGTTGCATCTTGTCTTCTAATAGAAAAAATAAAACTACATTATAATCTTCAAAAAGAAAAGAAAATCGAAGTGTGTAAGTTATTAAATCGGCTTATGTCTCAAATATGCGTTCTAATCGATAAACGTCCTATTAATTAAAAAAATCCTATGATATACTTTTCTTATAATTTACGTGGTTTTGTCCTTGTGTTGGCTGCAAAAGTTTTAATTTTAAGACTATATTCCTCGAATTAACAAAGCATTAGCACGCTTGACCTCATTTAATTAACCAAACAATCATCCTGACAAGTTGTTTATTATTTGCTTAATAACACAAGGATCGTCTATATACGACAAGGGGTGCTTTCATCGAAGACTTTCAAAGGAAAACTGGCTCGTATTCATATTACCTAAAAGAAATCACTTTAACGCCCATGCTTTCAGCTGGTCTACCAGGATTTGAATTACTCTTCGCAGGGAGATTCCAAAAGGGTGTCCCATTAGAATCGTGCCCGCACCCTTATTCAATTTGGCCTCTTCCGAAAGGATAGGAACCTTCATAAGATTCCAAGTTCCGCTAGTCGCCGCGATTAATATACTAAATGCATGCTGTTTTTCGGCTGTCTTGATGTGTTTGCCTCAGTGGGCACTGGAAGTAGAGTGATTGCTTGGTCAATGAGTCCAGGAAGACAGGATGGATGGAGGTCCTTCATAAGACATGCGGGGGCCTTCATATAAAGATGTACGCTCAAAGATCAGTCTGTAACTTGAAAAAAAAGCAACCCTCATAAGGCTGCGGGCATTTTTATACCTCCGCACTCTTATTACAAGTTCGATTTCCGTTTACAAACGTAAATCATATTGAAACGGAAATTTGACTTGTGACCCATGTGTAACTTGTAAGCGAACCAGTTTTCCTGAGAAAGTTTTCAACGAAGACAGCCCTAGTATGCTTTGCCAGAATCAACCAAATCAAAACCATTTAACCATAATAGGCAAGCCACCCGAAAGGTAAAGAAGAAAGCAGAAAACTCTTCCGCATTTAACACTTCGATACTTGCATATTGGCTGATAACATAGGCAGTAGGGGTTACAATAAATCTTTCATCCATTGCGCATGATTCTGAAATAGTCGTTTTTTTCTGTTGAATAAAGTTAGATTATAAAACAGTTATTCTTAAATGAATTGAAAAATTGATTATAATAATAATGGTCATTATTATCAATTAAAGATATTTTACAGCTGAAAACGTTTTTCGCTGCGTCAAATTGCAGTTAATGAAAGAATTCCGATGAATACTTCAAAAAACCTTTAAAAAAAACAAAAACATCATCAAAGTAGCAATACTCAGCTGAAAATCAGTCTGCACAGCTGCAGGAAATGCAAGGGATTTGGATGTTTCATATATAAAACTGTTCTTTGACGCTTAAATTTGCTTTGGGATATATTTAAAAGAAATAGGACTATGCAACGTTTCGGAGCGCTACTTTAAAAATTACAAAGTTTGGTTCAATATTAAACTTTCTAAGATAACTGGAACTGAGGGTGCTTGTGTATCATGCAAAGGAACGTATATCTTTAAAATCAGCGCTGAGGAGTAATTAATTTTTCACCTCACCCTCAGACTGAAAAAGAGGATTTATGAAACTGTAATCCGACCCATTCTCACGTATGCTTCCCCAGCCTGGGCAAACTACAAAGCAAACGAAATTAGCAAACTCCAAGTGCTTCAAAATAAGGTGCTAGGAATCGTCACAAAAGCTCCTTACTATGTTCGGAATAGGACTCTCCACTCCGACTTGAAAATAGATACTATTCAGGACTACCTCAGCAGAATAAAAACAAACTTTTTTTATAATATTATCAATGTGAATCCCGCTAATTTCACGGACATTCTTATCTACGAAATCCTGGCTGAAGACAAAACCTCCGCCCATTGCACCCATCTCTTGAGTTCAGAATTCTAATTCCAGTTTCTGGTTTTCAAGCAGCATCGATCGGGGTCAGTTTCTGGGAGGGTGACCTCCCACGTGACTGGCTCCGACGAATGAAAAGTTAGTATTCGGCTATCTACACAGGTCATCCGAAGTTCCTTTCTCCGGCCCCTGCTGGCGGATTCCCATCCAAGATATAGCATACAGGAGCAAAGTGCTTCTTTTCTCTCTCCAGCACACTTCTACCTCCACGAGAGAAAATTTCTTTCAGGTTTCTACTCTGTCAGGCCCCACATGGGATCACATCAGGAACTGGCAAGAGCAGGACTTTAATTTCCTGCTGAAAGCCAGTATAACCGCAAAGTTCCAAATTAATTTTTCTTTCATTCTGTTCCTCATTTTCAGCTTGTTAAATTAGGTTGTCTGAATTAGACACCTGTAGGTTGTTTCAGCTGCAGGTCAGGTTAGCTGGTTGGTTAGGCAAAGGCTATCTGCCTAATATGATGCCTTCGTGGAAGATTTTCTAAAGGAAACTGGGTCTTTATACAGGACATTTACAGCTGGTATATCGAATAAAATGCTATTTTTTAAGCAAGTTTGATCCTTTGTTTATTGCACAACGAGCTCAATTTTTTATTAATTATTTCTTCAGTATTCTGCATTGGCATGAATTAATAAAAGCTTTAATTGTCTAAGAAAGAGTAAAACAGCATTTTTTACAACTGTTAAATTTCAAAGGACTTATTTCACTCATTAACTTTTTATATTAAACTATTGTCTGTTTGATTCATTGTTTTCAGAACTATAAATGACTGAAAAATGAATTGTTTCATTCAAATCAAATTTATCACATTACCTCACTGGGTGACGTTTTGAGCAAATTACTGCCTCAAACTTGTAAAGTATTAATTTTCTAAGGTAAATGGGATTGTTGGCCAGAATCTACGAAATCACCGGTTATTCTGAATATACGCGTGGAACTTTTTTATTGCTCCAGCAGAAACTGGGATTTCAGCGGCAATCAGTTTCACAGAAGAAAATGTAATTCTTTTAACGTTTTTATGAATATTGTATTGCCGGTTACAAGGTGAAACTCTTCGAGGGATAATATTTTTATCTGGTACGATTTGACTTGAGTCACCATATATATGGCGGGTTAGGAAGTGGGATTTGCCTTGCGCATTGAAATTAAATCGTAAGCAAGAGAAGTTGTAATATTTGTTTATAATCTCCCAAAATTTCCCTACATTCCTTATAATAACAATGAACTGCTCTTGGCGCAAGTTTCATGAAGCGGTAAGAGGGGGAAGCGATTTGCTTGCCAAAGCAGTAAATATTTTTATATTGTTAGAACTTTAAATAGTTTGTAAGAGAGAATTAAGAAGTTTGTTTCTAGTCTTTAAAAGACTGGTTAGATCTCAAGTTATGCACTAGGTGTTGAAATATAATCTTTCAGGTGCAACTTTTTCGGGAGAGCGGCTTACAAAGCGGTTGTTCTCGTTGCTGACGCACCACTGGTGATGCTTTGCTGAATAGATGGGGGAGGGGGAGTGATAGTGGGTCAAGTTCAACGACTGTCTGCAACTGCTTTTTTCCTTGCCGTAAAGCATGAAGTGAAAGTTCTTTCTTTCCCCCTTTTCTGCCCTTGGCACGCGAAATAATTGAACCGTTTTTTGCATTTATTCTTTTACTTTATCTTTCACGTAATAATAGTCTTAAGGATTCTTAACCCTGGACCATTCGAAGCGGATTTGCTGTAGCACAACGCACCCGACTTTTCTTTGCAAAGACACGATTTGGAGAATTTCTGTTTCATAGCATTCTGTTCTTTACTCCTTGGGAACGTTAAATTTCTGCCCGCCTCCCACCTTTAGCGTGTAATATTCTACAAAAGCATTCGTGGTAGTATTTTTACAACTGTGAAGAATGAGACCGGTGGTTAACCTCAAATGGTGAGTTGCTAATTCTAAGAACTATTGTAAAATTGGGAGATTGCCCTGAGACTCATTGCGAGAAGGAATATCACATTCTTACTAGAAGAAAGTTCTCAATTGCTTAATTTTTCCGTTTCGTTTATGCATATTGCACAATATCTGGTATTAAGTGTCACGTTTTCAATTCCACACATATCATTCTAAAGTATGGTATTTAATCCTAATAGATATTAATTTTTAGTTTGTTTGATGAAAATTTTGATAGTTACTGTTACATTTGGGTTGCAAATAATCCCACCCCTCCCATTTTTCTCGAGTTCACAACTATCGAACTATGCTAACTAAGTTGGTGGAAATCTTCTCCTCCAAATGTTAGGCTAGTGGTCCGAGCGGTATTTTGAGTCATACCTCTGTGTATTAATTATCGTTAGTTTTCCTGCTCAATTCATCAAATAGCGACTGCTACGTAAACATTCGACGCGTTTGCTTCTTGTGCTTTGTAAAAAGGTTTCGTCGATTACTACTATTTTGTTAGGCGCTTCGATTTTACCACAAGCTGTATTTATAACACTATGAGTACAAATTTCTCACAGGTAAGTGTTCCAATCTAAAACTGTTTTGTTGGTGATTTCCATTTTCAGCTGTTTTTTTCCTTGTTCAACAGATGTTGATTCTCTCTCGATCAGCAGTAAATGAACTCCAGTGCAGTCACAAACGTGATTCTACCGACTTCGAACTGCATTCCTTTTCGAATGGATGTTCTCTTGTCATAGTTTTTTCACGTTGCATCGCTATTGATTATCCGTGGTTATATCAAACGAAAGCGCGCAGATGTTATGAGTGGGTTTCTTGTCCATAAATGGCGTCAAATCCCGTTGCTTGGCGACAGTTTCACTGACCACAGAGTAATACCAAAGTACTAATTATAATTTCACAAAGACCAGGTGGAAATTTTAATTGGAAGAGAAATATTCTAATATTCGGTGAGATTTTTTTCACTGTAAAAACATATGAGGCAATTTTTAATAGAAGGATATTCCCCCAGTGTTGCCTCTTGGCTACTGTGTTGCATTTCTTTCCCTTTCGATATCGGCCAGGACGATGTGGTGGTTAGCGTGGGCTGTGACGGATTCCCGCGCGGTTAGATCCGGTTGAAATTCCGTGTAAGGCATGGACTTTTGCGACTAGAGTGTCTGTATGGTATGGCGGCACTTAAAATCTCTCAAACGAATATTTCGAGAAGCTACGTTGGTAAGGAATGGTACTAGAACCTCAAATTCCATCCTTCTGTGTCCGAAAATTTGAAAGAAACGCCATTATGTGCTTAGACTAAATCGGAATAGGCCAGTCCTTCATCTCTCGAGAAGGGAAATACCGTTTTAAAATGTGAATGCAACACTGTACTAGAAACGTTTCTAAAATTAGGCGGCCGAGCAGCAGCCGAGCGGTAAAGTCACTTAACACTGGCTGCTCAACCTGAGAAATCGGGCTAGCTGGATGGGCGTTTTCATAGTTTTTCCATGTGTAACGTAGATACGAGCCGATTTTCTTCAAGAAAGCAACCCTCCACTTAGCCTACGCTTGCTTTGCCATAATAAAATAAACGTAACCAAATATAAAATCAGGTCTGAAAGCCTAATTAAATAGGCGTTGCACCTGAAAAAAAATTACGTCTGATCAACTTCGAAATGCATAGATTTTTTTAATTCAAAATCGTCGACAGTCAAATGTGGGCTTTATTCCCTCCTAATTTTAAATTTCTAATTGTCGCCCTTTCGCTTCCATTTCATTTTATAGAACTCTTGTTTTATTGGAGAAAGTATATATGTTTAAAACATAGATAAAAAGTGTACTAGTGGGTCAAACACCTCAGTTTACATTCATTCCAAACAACATTATTGGCTACCTTTAAAGTACATATATAAGGTTATGGGCTCCTACGTAGTTTGAGAATAACAGCCGACTTCTGCTTATCAAGAGAGAAAAGAAAAATGTAGTGAATGATTGCTACCTTATTAGAAGAAAAGTTTGACTTAGCAAACTTCTCACGTTACAGAAATTAAGCTTATGTAACATTAATATTTAATGATTTTTACCCCAGTGAAATATTCAGTTCGTCTCACTGAAAATTTCGAACTATCTAAGTTCGTCTAAATCCAAGTTCTGTTCTAAATAATCAGTTATCTTATTTTAATATAAAATAATCACAACGATTTCGCTGATAATGATAATATATAACAGCATGCTTCATATCTTTCAAGTAAATGAAAACAATTATTAAGAAATAACTAATAGTGTTGTCTCTGGGATCCGTATGAAAACTCGAAGATTAAAACTCAAAACTGTACTTTTTGTACTAATGGGATAACTATATTAAAGTTACCATGCAAAAAAATATTTATTTCTGTTTTGAAAGAACATTTAGGAATAAAAAGTATTTCAATAAAGCCATTCAAGGCCATTTTTGTGATATCTCACAAATTTTTTAGATGCGCTTGTAAAATAGCTGCATTTCTCATAACAGTGCATAAATATTTACTGATTGAAACCCTTAATATGTCTGTCTTCTTTTCCAGGATGTAATTCACGAATGTGCTTCGCTAGGCATTTATAATCTTCCTAATACTCCAACTCTTCAAGAATTGTTGGTAAGTTTTTCTCCTGAATATCTTATTAGGTATTTATTATATCTTATTAGGCATCATATATAACCAAGAATCTGTACATCTGCAATTGTATAATATAATTAGGTTTAGATTATTCTTAAAAATGAGTTATATTTAAACCTGAATTTTTCTAATTTTCGTTTACTTTAATTAAGAGCTGCAGAAATATTACGTGAATTAAAAAAATTCGCGGCAATGTCCTCTCACCTCCGCGAAGCTTGCGATACCTGAAATTTATTGATATAAGGCGTTAATGTACCCTATATGGAAACGTTTGGAGTGAAATCATCTGGGACAACTCATTTCGTATTTGTAATGCAAACAGCGTGAAGTCCTCTTTCGATTATTCAGTGCTATGTTGTATTTTGAGCTGTGCGCTGTGTTGTATTTTACATATAATTAATTCTTAGAATGGAAAACTGTCCACAGCTCATTAATTCAAAAAATTTTGACGCCTTTTGAGAAGAACTAATTTCCTTAGTTTCTTATTGCTGTGTATTACATTCCAAAGTAAAGGATTTTCTTTTCTTTGATAACGCCAAGCTACACTTGTAACTTTCAAGTAAAATTAATGATTAGAGAAGAAAAAACTACAAGACACAAGTGTCAAGGCAAAAATAATATTTTAATGAAACGATATTATATCCTCAAACATTTTTGTCTTGCTTTGGGGAGTTTCTGAAGTCCGAGAACGTAAACTCTGCAAATGTTTTAAGAAATGCCGGATGGATATTGCAACATCTTTCAGCAAAATAATGTACTTTTATGCACTGTGTACGTCCCCATGTAAAGTCTGATTAGTGTTTCCGCGTCTTATAGCTTGCCAAACCTTCATGTCTTTTTACGATCGGGTAGGTACAGGAACGTTTAGGATGACAGCAATAGCATCTCGCAACGTACATGAATTGCTGAACAATTACATAATCTGCAAGACAGAGCTTGTCTTTTGTATGCGTCTATGCATGTCGAATCAAATGATAGTACTCATTTACATAAAGTTATTTTTTCTGATACTAAAAACATTACAATTTTTGAATTTACATTGAGAATTAGTATTTAGGTTAGTCGGTTAATTAAATTTGGCAAAGCACGATACGGCTTTCTGCGATAAGATGGATGCCTTCGTTAGGGCTCTGTGAGAGAAACTGACTATGGGAAAATCTTAAAAACTCTATGTAGCCAGCTCGGAGAAATGAATTCCCGCGAAAGGAGTCGAGGATAATATATCAGTATTCAGCTGCCTTCTCATTCGGCCACAGGGGGGAGCACAAATAGAGAATTGAAGAAAATGTTACGCATTGTATTTGCTAACTTAGACCTACGAAGAGTAGTAAAAAAATGGCCTGGCTAAAATAGTCTCTTTACAATTAAAATCTCAATTATATAACCAGAATTTCAATTATACTAAGACATATTGAATTTAATGAGAGGAACCTTAATATTTTTTGGAATTACAACTTGCACTGAGATTTACATTATTTGGAAGTTACAGAAAATACATGTCTGCATCCAAATTTTCAGGGCAGATGTGCATAATCCCCAGCACAAGGGTCACGGTAATCAGTCGGGTAGTGTTACTAGAGGCTCTCAGCAAGATGTCTAATAGAACCATAATGAAGACGGCAACATGTCTAGGATAAAAAATTCTCAAAAGATTTCTCGGTAGTGAAAATCATCATAAGACATCGACCTTGCTGTATGGCATTCAGAGTCACTTAGTGATATATCCTGGTCGTGTGGTGCCATGAAGTGCCGTTGCAAAAAGGCTGGCAGAGGATGGGCTCACTGTCAGCGCCCATTTCGATGTTTACCATGAATTTCTTAGCATTGACAACTAATTTAGTATCTCCGCTGCAAAGTTTGAGATGTATCATGTCTAGCGATAAATCGTGAATTTTGCTTCGCACAAGTGATCGGAGAATTCGTGTGTGGGAAGTTCAGGATTAGGTTACGTTTCGTTAATTGATTAGGCATAAGCGAACTCTATGCCTATGGAGAAGAATACCCTTCGTGGAACACTTTTTATGGAAAACTAGTTCGTGTCCACGTTGCACACGGGGAAAACCACGAAGCTACTCACGCAATCAGCATGACCTCCGCGATTTGAGCTCAGAGTCAAATTATAAATGTTTAGCAACTTAGTGTTCAACCGCTGGGGGAAGGACCTCGTGTATAAAGATGGTCCGGCCAATGTTTCATTTAGCATCACCGTAGAACAGTATATATCTATCGCAGTTCATATTACCGTTTAGGGAAGGCATTGCCTATGACATTAGCTCATTTTCAACAATACTTTTCCTAATTTTAATGTCAAAGATTACATCGACGACAGTCTGCAATGTGTTGTCAATGCTTTCGTCGGGAGTCATCTTTCAGCAAAATAATGTCCTTTCATGCACTGTGAACTTCTCCATGTAAAGTCTGAATAGTTTTTCCACTTCTTATAGCTTGTCAAACCTTCATGTCTTTTTACAATCGGGTAGGTACGGGAACGTTTAGGATGACGGTAATAGCATCTCGCAAAGTACATGAATTGCTGAACAATTACATAATCTGCAGGACAGAGCTTGTCTTTTGTATGTGTCAATGCATGTCGAATCAAATGATAGTACTCATTTACATGAAGTTATTTTATTTTTCCTGATACTAAAAACGTTACAATTTTCGCATTTACATTGAGAATTAGTATTTGGCTTTTCTTCATTATCCTTTTTAGAATCTACATTACTGCAATATCACTAACTTTACTCAAAAATATTGAATTACTGCTGGAAAGACAGAATATGAAGTTTACGATATTACTGAAAAATTACAAGTAAATACTTTTATCATATCGAAAATTGAAAACAAAGAAAGGATGCTGTAGAGGAATTTGAATTTTGTGTTTCTTACCTGAGTGTGAAAGAACGCAGTGAGGCTATGACAGTCAATATCTAATCTGGCTGAGGAAAATAATTAAAATGCAAAGAATTAATGTTTCGTGTCTAGCTTCAAACGCTCTGTATTGATTTCGAAGGAAGGGAATTGTATATATAGTCTAGGATATTCATCTCTGAAAGTTAAAATAGGTGCCTTCAGATTTAAAAAAAAGTATCAAATATGCATAAATTTGCATGAATATTTTAACAATACATTTATTAAAAAGAATCATGGTTCTTCATTGCTCTGGGATAATATGAGGTAATAGAAATAGTGCATAAATTCTTGCCCATAAGGTAATTTCCTAGTTAGTTCTAAGTCAACTCTGCTTTTTTTGCCAGTGATTATGTACCCCTTAAAATTCAAAGGAAGATGAAATTCTTCGGGGTTAATTCATCTAAGAATCTTCAGCAAATGTTGCCCAGCTGCCATTAGTGTCACTGTCAGAAAGAATCTGTTTCAAAATACCTTTTAGAATAATTTAATTATTCAGTGATAACTTTTTTTGTTCAGAACTAATATTTTTTTCTTTTTAAAAACAGACAGTTAACTTTTAGAAAATAAGCTAGAAATTAATACAGTCAAAAGTCGTTAATTTGGACACCCATAATCTGGACCTCAAAGCTAAAAACTTTCTGCGCATCGCCGCGTTGACACATACGTATAGGCGTTTACGCGTGCGCGTAAGACCTCTTACGACTGCGCATTTGCGTGTGCGCAAGCGCAGAATACGTTTTCGCGTGCGCGTTTTATGTATAACGAACGGTATAAGCTAAAATTATCTAATTATCTATTTCAGTTAATGTTGATGATTGCGTTGTTCCTTAATTTTCGAATTGGATCCGGCTTATTATTTTTTGCAGACTGTAAGAGCAAATACTATAAAAGTAAACTTTGAACTTTCGATTATGTCAAATAGAATTTCCGATTCTGGAGCTCCCAAAGGATCGTACAAAACGAAGTATGTTTCGATGTCCTTCAAAAACAAAAGTGGAATTGCTGCAAAAAATGGATATAAAGACATGAAGAATGTGACAGAGAGGTTAGTGAAAACGAAAAAATTTCGATTGACAAGTTAGTCGGTATTCTCGGCACAGCAATTAACGAGAGTTGAACAGAGGAACTTTGTAACTGAACAAGAAATTATGTCTGTTTATAGAATTAAAGAGAAAGTATTATCACATAAAACGAAGCAACTTAAACAACTTACATTGAAAGAAATGTTTAATAAAGTAAACAAATAAATATTAAGCTTTTTTTTTTTTGTAAATTTTGATACCCTTTAGATCATATTGTTCTTTATTTCATAAATTACGGTTTCATATTTTTAATTTTAGAATTTCTGCATGCCATCTTACGAGATTTAAACTGATGATCTATAATGCGGGAAAATCGATAATCCGGAATCGCCGAAGTCCCGACGAGGCCGTATTAACGACTTTTGACTGTATGTGCACAGTGTGAAGATGACTTTTCGGTAATCGTGTCTGCATGCGTTTGCTTCAGAGCAGTCCATTTTCATTTTCTATGATAAAAATGTAAATTTCTAAAATTTTATTGCAATTTTCGTGAAGGGCTTAAATTATTATCAGTTATATTGACTGCTCTAGAAGAAACTAATGCTGTCAAACTATAGCATAGTATTTAGAATATTAAGCTATTTTTCCCCCTTGAATTGATGACTGCCACTCTTTTAATACTTCTTAAAGAACTAGGCATTTTTGGTGCTCATTATATTCACCGTTCATACATCCATATCTGTTTAATCACTTCACTGTATGAATATTTTATTATTATTGTGTTAAATAGGTAATTTTAGTAATTTAAAATTTGTTAAACTCATTAATCATAAATTAAACATTAGTTCACTATTTACCAGTTCAGAAGTTATTAGATAGTTGTTAACATTAGAACTGTCAGAAAAAAGTAGATTTTCTCTTTAGTACTAAATATGCAGTTCAGTTTTAAAGTAACTTTCAGGAGAGTGTTGAAATGTTTTGTTGATACTGTCTTTAATTGACCAATACTTTTTCTTCTTTCAGGATATGGACACAGAAGAAGCTCTCAATAGAATTTATTCATCACTTCTTGTGCATTCTGCTCATGCTTATTTCATCCGCCACCAGTTCCTCACATCCAGTGCCACATGCCCAGTTACAATTGTTGATGAAGGCAACTTAGCAGAGCAAGCTTTTATACTAGCCAAGAAACAAAAGTCCTTGGCGTGCGCTATCAGGCTGGGGATCACCATTCTGGGATATCACCAGAATGACACCAGTGCTATTTTAGATGAAAAACTTTCGGACTTGAGGCTGTGCTCACGTAGAGCTTTAAGGGACTGTCAAGTGGTACGCAGCATCATTCATCTTCTAGATATCATAAGCCAATACGCCCGCTCAGAGCTAGTCGTTTTTACAATTCATTGAGGTCGCCATTGAAAGACAAGAAAGGTGTGCGTCAATATCTGCGCTGCTTGTGCGGGGATCAATCACAACAAATACGCTGGTCGTGTTTGTCAAGAATGATATTTAATCGTACTTTGAAAAAAGTGAAATGAATATGAAGGAACTTTTAACTTCAGACCTTGCCAACGAATGGACAAACGAGGATCCATTTCAGCCATAAGGACACTTTTGCTTGTTTCTGTGCCTAGTCCGTTGGTATATTTAATATTTTTGCTAACAATTTTGTTAGAATGCAAGGAAGTATTTTATTAATATTTTAAACTGTCTGCCTTAATGCAGAAAATCAAACTCTTAGAACTTTTAATGTTATAACAAGTGATATTTTTATGTGACATTTTAAGTTTCCTTGCACTGCTTTTCGCTCAGTGCGTGTGTAAAAATTGCATACAAACAGAATCTGGAAAGAATTTATACAATGTTCCTATTGCTTCATCAGTTTTCTGCCACACATTTTCTAAACATTAAATTATTTTCCACTTATTTTTCTTTTTCTTTGATGTCTATTTTCGCAACAAATATATGTTCCTCAAAATGTTTTTAAAACATGTTTCACACAGATTGGAGAGGTGGAACGAAAAAATTACTGAAAGATATTTCTCATTTCATATTTGTATAAGTAATTTTTAATAACTTTTGTGAAAGTTTAATAAATATTTTTTACCGAAAGTGAGTAACTTTTTTACACTATACTTGCATGAATTACACATATCTTTTGCATAATAAGGCAAATAAATTAATTTCAAATTTATGATAAAGCAAAATCGATAACAAATCTCCAAATAATATTTTTGAGAGATTTTGCTTTTAAATCATTTGAATTCCAGCTCCCAGCACTGTTGTTGATGTTTAATTATTACCTAGTTAATAATAACTTTAACCAGTTAATACATCGGCTGCCATGAGTATCACTGTGATCAGCAGTAAATGTTTATCTTAAGAATCACAGGAGCTTTGAGCAATTGTCTAAATATTAGTTTTCCATAAGCAGAGGCTTGGGAAAGAATACTTGAATTATGAAGAAATCTGCATGATCTGATCTTGATTTGATATGCATTCTAATTGCTATTTTATGTAGCCCTGGAGTTCAGAATCAATTAAGAGGAGTGGTGGAACTAAAACAAGTAACAGCAAATAATGATCATGGTAACATGAAAAGAATTATTACAGGATAAAAGCTAGCAAAAAAGACTTTTCTGTTTGATTTTTTTTTCTCAATTCTTTTGCAAGTTCATTATAACAAATTAAAGAAAAAAATTAAATGTTTCCTAGATTTCACGAAGGTCTCCCATTTATATCGTGTTTTGAATCATACAAAATTCACAATTTTTATTTGTAAATACTTTTGTATCACGAACTAAGCTCTTTAAAATCCCCCGTTTCATTTTCCGTCATCTTTCGGATTTTTAAAAAAGATGTTTCATTTAATATCACCTGTTTAATACATTATTAAATGGAACTTTGAAAGAAGCCATAAATAAGAATTAGCCATATTTAAATTAAATGTACAGTACAATGTAAACTACTTCGAAATAGGAAATTCGTCTTGAACGGCTTTAACTAAAGTAATAGTAGCGCCAAATTCAGTGATTAACAGCTAATATTTACTCTTTCCAGCTGTAGTCAATAAGAAGACCGTATGCTGATAGAAAATTTCGCCTATTCTCTCCTGTTACGGGAGTAAAAGAGAACTTCATTTTGCCCTCGTAAAATTGCATATTTCGATAACGACGCTATTTTTCTGGAAAACATGTAAGGGCAAAATTAGAAAAGGCGCAATATCGCGCAACTCGTTTTGTATCAATTTTTTATATAAAATTGGTGATTCGATATAAAGATTAACATTTAAAGTAATCAATAAAGATGTTACTGTAAGACTGAGCTAAGAAACAATTAATAATTTCTTTTTCACAATTTTAAATTTTTAAGCAACGATCCACATACCCTAAAATGATTACCAAAGCAACAACTTGTTAATAATGGCTCTACTTAACGTTATAAAAGACATAATTTCAACATCAGTTTCAGTATTTTACGGATCTGCACTGCATCAAAGCCTCTTAAGGCTTTTAGAAGGCTCATTGACCAATACTTCTGAAGCTCTTTCGATATCAGCTGAAAAAGGAAGTGATAAATTGAGTCTGCAACATGTACCAGACAGAACAAGTGTAACAGAATGCTCTAAAATTCTCAATTAGACGAACTTGCAAGCAGTAAGGAAGACAACTGCACATACCTTTGAAAGGTAACTAAATACTGCTTCTGCGCTGTTAATATTCTATTGTTAATATTAGTAGGAAATACAGTTTTTCGTAGATTATTAATAAATATGTTAGAATTCAATGTTGCGCTTCTACAAGCAACCCAGACAACCCGTCAAACAAATGTAGTCTCTCCATCATTGTATAAATTAAAGAAGGACTTTGTAGAAGATATTTCTAATCTTTCAGAATATGAAACACTGGTATATCTAATTTCACGTTCGTTCCTCAACGAATGTATCTTAACTACCGCAGCACAAATTATAGCCTTCGATACTTTTCTGTTTGCTAGAAAGAATGCAGACGTTTTCTAGTTTAAGACCAACGTTAAATTAAACGCGCTTTTATCTTTTATGGCGGTGCTCTTGTTTTCAAAGTAGGTATTGTCAGTAAAATATTTTCAAAGCACATCATTTTCTTAGGTCATTTCTTTACTGCACATACCTATGAAACAGATATATTCTTATTCTTAGAAAATTTTCACCACAGGGTGGCAGGTGAAAGTGTAGAGGACACCAGAACTTCATAATGGGATTTTACAGGTATTGTCTCCTCACACTGTCTATAAGAAATAGCCTTCCAGGGTGTCCAGGGCCCTATCGGGCGAAACTTAAAATCTTGTAGTAATAAATTTTTTAAATGGGGATTTACCGGATGAGACCGCGTTCCGCGCGTCCTCTATTTTTATGGGTCAGAAGGCTATAATATTTATTTTATTTTATCTTAATTTTTAATACAGCCAAAATGAGATGATGACAAAAGTAAATTTTTTTACTGGAAGTATCGTGTTGTCCTATAACAAATCGGAGTATTGTTACTTCTTTAGTGAAAACTGGCTTGTATTCAAGTTACACATAGAAAAATGGCACAAAAAGTCCAATGCAATCAATTAAGCCTCAGTCGTACTACCAGTGTTCAGCGTTTTTATCGTTCGGCAGTCGATGGATGGTCATGTAATGAAAAAGATCCCTTTCTGTTTACGTAGAATTTTAATCAGAACTTCAGAAACTTAAAATCCCAAAAATTGGTTCAATGCTTCCCACAAGTGAAATTTATTCAAAATTGAGATACTTACGAATTATGTCGTCGACCGTTAAAGTTTATTACCATCGAGCCACGAAAATTGGCGTAGATTCCGCCCAGATGCGCCAATCGCTCCCGTGGAATTTTGAAGGAACTGGAGTCTTTAATAAACAATGAATATTCGAACTGCTTCCTTTTTGAACCTCGTAACAAGGCTTTAGTAGATTTCTACTATTATGTTAGGCTCTTTTATTTTACCGGAAGATCTTTTAAAAAGCTATGAGTACAAACTTCCTGCCGGTAATTTTTTTGGTCTGTTATTGTTTTCTCGGTCATAGTCAGCTGACTATACCGTGTGCATTATTACGCACATTTTCAGGTTATGATCCTATGATTTTGAAAATAAACCACTGCTTGCTGCTCTGTAGAAGGCAGATACTAAGTGTTTTTCGAAATGCAAGAAAAATATAGCAGTAACAGTTAAATTTATATTCTTGTCCATAAAAAAAGGTTGCTTATCGAGAATAATTCGGGGTTACATCGAACGAAAGCGCAAATGTTATAAGTTTATTGTTACGACACGCTTATCCATAATTGGCGCTAAATCATACTGCTTATCGATAGCTTCGCGGTCGGCAGAATAATATATAAGAACCAAATGAATGCTAATTCTTCTCAATAAATGAATTTTAGTCGAATTTTTTTATAACTCAAACGTTTTCCGAATAACGTGAGTATTATTTTTTTCTCTGTCAGCCGAAGTCAAATATTACCCAAAACCATGGAAATCATGCCCCGGATCGCTTTCGTAGAACCCTGAAATGCAAGCCCACCAGTAACCAAATGGATAAGACTAGATATAGTTAGTTCTGAGTTTTGCTCTCTACAAACAGACTGGTATTGCAAGGGTTTTCCCTACAGGTAACATAAGGTACGAGCCAGGCTCCCTTAAGATTCTTCCACGAAGACGTTTTCTGGCAATCTCACGTATTCTGCCGTTAATTCATTGAAGAAAATAATTTAAGAAATGTTATTTATTTCTAATAAAGGAAACTGAGCTCTTTCTTATATTTTTATCCTATGTTTTAAAATATTTAATGTATTTTTTTTTTTTTTGGAATAAAATGGGTCCTACCAGCGGCCGAGCGGCAAAGTAGCTGAACACTAGTAATTCTGACCTGGGTTCGATTCCAGGCAAACGGGCTGGCTGCATGGGCATTTTGGTGGTTTTCTACATGTGTAACGCAAATGCGAGCCATTTTCCCTTAGAACGTTCTTCACGAAGACACCCCTCCCCTTAGGCAGATAGCCCTAATGTGTCTTGCGGTAATATCAATAAACTAAACCAAATCCATGAAATAAAAAGGCTACATATTTAAACATTGCTTTCATACTATTTTCATTCTGCCGAAACAAAACGAAATATTATTAAATGCAAAGGATACAGCTATCTTTCATTATTAATTTCAGGTGGAAATATCCATCTAATTCTTCAATAGAACCGTATAATATCATGCCACCGATACTTTACTACTTTACGTAGGTTCTTTAAAATGCGGTTTATTTCTTGACATTAAATGTTTAAAATTTTTCATGAATTGAAATTAAGTTCATCATTAATTATATGCAATCATTTCTAAGTTGCTTTTAAGTCCGTTTCATTTTAAACATATGTGTGTTACGAACTGTTTATACAGGGTATTTCTGAATTCAACCGGCAAATTCAGAGGGGGATAGTAGACATCAAGTGGAGCAAAAAGTGCAATAGCGCATAGGGTCACAGACCACGTTCAGTGGGAGAAAGTCACAAAAAAAGTTATGAAGTGTGTGACGTCGAATGGGAAAATAGGTGCCAATAATAAGTAGAAAAACCTTTATTTGACGTAAAGCAGGATAACAGTACATCACAGCTGGACGTCAGAAAGGAATCGACTAGACAGTTTCTAGGAATTGATAGAAGTTGGGGCCGCGAAGATCATTGCACAGCCGATACCGACGGATGAAGGATTGCCGAACACGTTCAAACATACCCAGTGTGCTGACGATGTCTACTGAAGCGTCTGATATGCAACCAATTTCAGGTGACCCCAGAAATTCAAAGGATTGAGTGAAGACCAAGTAGCAGGTCCGCCGCGTACAATCCACCTCCCTGGATATGTAGCACTGAGGTAGTTACTCATCGCAATCACAAAATGTGCTGGTGCGCTGTCATTCATGAATCACATGTTTTGGCTCACAGTGACCGGTAATCCCTGCATCCAATCCGGGAGCACGTGCAGAAAAAAAAGTACTTTGCTCAGTTGAGGTGTTCAGGCAGAAGGTTTCCAACAGATGATCTCCGAGAATACCTACTCAGATGTTAATACCGAACTTGTGTTGCACTTT